GACTGACCCAGCACATCCCCTCAGAAGCCAGTTTTGATTGGACCTTTTTGGGTTTTTTTAAGGCACTGAACAAGACTAAGACAAGTGTGTTATTGACAGAATGTGTCTGCAGCCATCCACGAATCACAGAGAAATCATTAAACATGATTTGTTGGGAGTAAATCCATATATATATGAAATGGAACTCTGGTGGTAGTACTTCTTTTACTTACCTTTGTACCTCATGAGTTTGACACTGTTTGATCTGGAAACACTCAGCATACAGTCATGGAATAGGACCATACGAATAATAACCCATTCTTGTCCAGAAAGTGAAAAATAGAGCATTTGAGTTGATAGCAGTTCTGAAATCTGGTTGGACAGATCTTGGGATAGAAACTGTTTTCAATTGTGGTAAACTATTATGCAACATGGTGGCTCTATAAGGTAAGCACTGGCAAGGTCGACAGTTCAAGCCTACCATCCGCTCCTCAGAAGAAAGGAAAATGAGGCTTTCTGCTCCTACAAAGATTTACAGCCTTGGAAACCCTATACAGGGTCACTTTGAGTTGCACCTAACTCGACGGCACTTACCACCACCAACATATGCAACAAAACATTTGCATGTTTCTCATATCCTTGTCCATTCCAACATTTTCCATCATCCCAAACAGAAGCTCAGTGCTTCCCAAGCTCCCTCCAACCCACCCTGATCGTCACTGGTGGACTTTTCTTTCTGTACATTGCGTGTCCTAGATCGTTCATTTAAGGGAGACTGTAGGGCATCTATCCTTTTGTGCTGACTTAATTCACTCAGCATCATATCTTTAAGGTCCAGCCAGGTTGTACCATACATAAGAACTACTCCCCGTGGTTAAGCAATACTCCATTTAGCACATCTTGTGTATCCATTCATTTGTGGATGTGCATTTCAGCTAGTGTGAATAACGCTACAGTAAATATTGCTGTACAAGGATGTGTTTGCATTCCTACTTTCTCTTCTGTATGTAGCTAGGCAGTTCTGCTCTCTCAGAAGCCTCAACATTTATTTCATTTCTTTGATTTCATTCCATTTCTGCTAATAGGCCAACCCTCACTGATTTTTGAGACAACCTCTCCAGAAACTAAATGAGAAATTTGGTTCCAACTCATAGCTACTCTGTATAGGGTTTCCATGGAATGGTTGGTGGGTTTGGACCACCAACCTTATGGTTCAAACCAACCTTATGGTTCAGTGATTTATCCCACAGCACCATACCAGGACTTAAACGTACCATTGTGTCATGGGGGTTCACATTTTCCCATCCTCCCCTTTCAGTTTTCTTATTTCCCCACAGCTTGGCCATGGAACCAACATGTCAACTCTTGGAATTTTTGTGATAGTCATAATTTGTGTGTGTGTGTGTGTATGTATGATATATATATATATATTGTGTGTATGTATACACACACATGGACTTCTGGTATGACCCTGTAGGAGCAGCACTAGACTGTGAACCACCAGCTACTCCTCAGAAACCCTGTACAGGGTCACCATGCGTCAGAACTGACTCTACAGCACTTAACAACAACATACACATACATAGAGGAGTATGATGACTCCATGCAAGGATAAGCACTGGACTACGAATCACAAGGTCCACAGTTGGAGGCCACCAGTCTCTCTACAGGAGAAAGATTCAACTTTTAGCTCCTGCAAAGATGTAAGTCTCAGAAACCTTGTATTGGGTCACTCTGAGATGTAACCCACTCCATAGCACTTAACAACAACAACAACAACTATATATATATATGTATTTTATTTTATTTTATTTTATTTATATTGTTGTTGTGTTCCATGAAGTTGGTTTCAATTCATAGCAACCCTGATAGGATTTCCAAGGAACAGCTGATGGGTTTGAATTGCCGACCTTGTGGTTTGCAGTCCTGCACTGATTCATTCCAGGAGTATGTATATCTATATTTATATTTATATGTAGTAAAATATATACAAATATTTTATATATAATTTTTTACTTTATTTTACAGTACAGGCTTCAAAGCCATTTCTGAATATCAGCATTCACCATGATAGAAGCCATGTTATTAGAGACAATCAGACTTTCTGTGTTACACGTGTCATAACAACACAAAACATGCTGCAGTAGTAACCTGACTTCGTGTTTCAAACTAAAATAGTGGGTAGGCTCTTTTTTGACTAAGAAACATATTGTTTCCCTTCCAGTCCATGAAAAAAAAAAAAAAATAGACCAAAATAAAAGAAGAAAGCAATTTGTTTTCCATCTTTGTTCTCTTTTCCTTTGTTTTCTTTATGTTTAACTGCCTTCCCTATAACCCAACTTAGTATGTTTAACTGCCTTCCCTATCACCCAACTTAGTATGTTTAACTGCCTTCCCTATCACCCAACTTAGTATGTTTAACTGCCTTCCCTATCACCCAACTTAGTATGTTTCTACTCTCTACCCAGTGACTAATTCTCCCTTCCCAAGGAGCTCTGGTGGCATAGGGGTTATGAGTTCAAATCTACCAGCCACTTGGTAACCATCATAGAAAGTTTTCTATAGAAACCTTTTCTTGATTTTTTTACAGAAGGTTTCATTCCGTAGCTGCTCCTTTGCAGTCAAGTCATTTCACTCAGCATAATGCCCTCCAGCTTCCTCCATGGTGTGGTGTGTTTTGCAGATTCGCCATTATTCTTCACTGTTGTATAATGTTCCACTGTGTGTATGCACCAAAGTTTGTGCAACCATTCCTCTGCTGATGACCATCTAGGCAGTCTCTATCTTTTGCTTTTGTGACTCTTGCTACAATAAACATGGGTATGCAGATACCTACTTGTGGCATGGCTCTTATTTCTTGAGGATATGTACCAAGTAGAGAGATTTCTGGGTCTTTCTATTTCCAACCTTCGGAGAAAGTTGTCATCCCTCTTTCCCCAGCGGTTGTACCATTTTAAAGTCCCATACTTTCCATCCTCTTTCCAACATTTGTTGTTTTCTGTTTTATAACTTTGCTGTTAATGCTGGGGTAGAGTGATACCTCACTGTTGTTTTGATTTGCGTGTGTCTAATGGAGTCCTGGTGTGGTGCTGTGGGTTAATGCGCCAAATTGCAAAGTCGTTTGAACTGCAAGGTCAGTGGTTCAAACTCACCAGCTGCTTCTTGGAAACCCTATACAGGGTCGCTATGGGTCGGAATCGACTGGACAGCACTTAAAAACAATGGAGACCTGGTGTGATGCTGTAGGTCGGCAGTTCAAACTCACCTATACGGGGTTCTTATTAAAAACAACAACAACAATGACTAGTGATTGTGAGCATTTCTTTATATGTTTGTCTTCTTTGATGAAGTTTCTGTCCATGACCTCTGTCCATTTGCAATTGGATCATTTGTCTTTGTATTGTGATATTGATACCTTCTATACATTTTTTACAGTACTCCCTTATCTGATATGGCATTGACAAAAAATGTTTCCCAGTCTGTGGATTCTCTTTATACTCTTTTGGTGAAATCTTTTGATGCACATTACATAATTTCTGTCTTGCTGGCTTAGGCCAAGTTCTTCTGGGGTGGCGAGCAATCCAGAAGGTCTAAAGATACTGACTGCAAGGAGAATGCTCACTCATAGGGCTTTTCCTGTAGGACTGGGTGGTCCATCTTGACCACACTGTCTTCATTATGAGACATAGGTTGAATGGACGGCTCTACCTGGGCCAAGCTATTGTCATGTCAGGTGAAAACAAATGATCGAACCACAAACTGGTTCTCAGTACTCTTCACTGGATGTGGCTGTGTGACTTCGAGAGTATTGCAGCACGCAGAACACCCACGTATTGTCAAGTTCACCCAGAAATGCCTCAGAAAAAAGGCCTGGTGGTCTAGTTGGTACAGTTGGCTCAGCTCCCCATGGATTCGTGGAATCAACTCACTGGCAGCTAGTTTGATAACTGGTTGATGTGTCTTGTGCTCATATTTCATTGGCCAAAAATGTCTTCACTCTGACCACGCACATCGTGTGGTTTTAGCATGTCCATATCATGGCTAACTTGAGTGGACCATGCTTCTCAGGGATTTGGCCATCATGTAATGATGTCATTTGGCAGTTGTGTAATGACTGAGTCCTCCTCCATTTTGTTATCTGATATGGTCATTCTCCATTTTTGCATATCGCATGTAGTCTTTGAAACCCAACTGTGTCACTAAGTGAGGATTTGGGAGTGAGTGTACTTTAATCACATGCATATCACTGATTCCTTGGCCAATTTAAAAAAAAATGTTTCTGAGTGACACAAATGTTAAGAGCTCTATTGCTGACCAAAAGGTTGTAGGTTCGAGCCCACCCAGTAGTGCCTTGTGATCTATTTCTGAAAATCCAGCTGCTGAAAGCTCTCTGGAGTGCAGTTCTACTCTGACACACTGGGGGGGTGACCATGAGTGGAATCGATGGCAGATGGTTTGGTTGATTGATTGGTTGGGCTGTCTCTGGTAGATTTTTGACAATTTATAACTATTTTTTAACCCATCTGCATGGTGGCTCTGTAGCATAAACACACTGTACTGTGAACTACAAAGTCAATGGTTCAAGCCCACCAACCGCTCCAGGAGAGAGATGAGACTTTCTACTCTCTCAAAGATTTACAGCCTCAGAGACCCTATACAGGGTTGCTATGAGTCAGAACAGACTCAGCGGCACTTAACAACAACAATGCGTTGTGTAAAGTGTGACCCAGCTTGTATCTACATGAGCTTTAGGCAGTAGGCAATAGATGGCTGGTTAAGTAGGAAACCATACCAGGAGGTGCATTCAGACACTCTAAAATGCGGAGGAACTATTCCACTCATTGTATTTCCAGTTAGCTCCAGCCAGTTCACAGTTGAACATAGTGAGAACAGCTCACCTAATATACTGAAAAGCTGAAGCCAGTGTCTAGAGAGGAGCTTGAGGACTTGGCTGTCATGTCTCAAGTTGAGTTCTTTTGCCCACCTGCCCACCACCGTCTTTTTCCTATCTGTCTCCACAGTTTGATATGCAGAGGATAACTCTCGAAGAACTGAAGCACATTCTCTACCACGCCTTCCGAGACCACTTAACAATGAAAGACATCGAGAACATCATCATCAATGAGGAGGAGAGCCTGAATGAGACCTCGGGGAACTGTCAGACAGAGTTTGAAGGAGGTAGGGGACCAATGCTCTTGTTTCTCCCTGGTCTTGAGTAGCCTAATGCCTCCTCACTCTCTATATGAAAAATGTGTTTACAGACTCCTAGCCTGAAGTAGCCTCATGTTGAAGCCAAAGATACAGGCTTGAGATCAGAAGATCCTTTCAGCAAAGATGTAGTTTTTAGGGTTTGTTTCTCTAGGTTATTTTCCCCAAACTTCTACAGGACCTCCATTGACTCTGTCCTAGTGATTGGCTGTGCATCTCTGTGATACTAACCTTTACTTAGTACTCTGTAGGGTCCTGAAAACCAGCCAGATTAGATTGTCCACAAACTTGGGTCAAATTCATTGGGAAATGAGATATACCATCTATGAGTGTGTTTCCTCTTCTGTCAATCTCAGCATAATCTCACCTTCATCACAGGATCCTTGGGAATAGATTATATCCAAAGTGAGGCCAGTAACAAGAGAGCCCTCTGATGAACTTAACCAAGTAATTCAAAAACACAAGCTTCAAAAAAGAGGTCCACGCCACACCATTTTTCCTGGGCTCGTGAAAGAAGGGAAAAAACCAACACACCCTATTTTATCCCCTGATCAGCAGAGTTCTTGGCAAACTAAATAATTTAATCCCTCCTTCCAGCTTTGCAAATCAGAGTGGCTTTATCAGCCCCCAAACACAGAAAATTCAAGAAAAAAATTATGCATAAAATAGCATAGCAGGATACCAGCTGTTTTTAACCTCTTTAATTCTGAGGCTTCTTTAGAGGCCAAGCTGTTTTTCCTTTTGAGTTTGTAAACAAATTGATATACACAGTGTATTAAGTGTTCTCGTAGACACCAGTGCAGTCTGATCTTGGAGCTGCCGTATTTGAACTGGCTGAATACTGTATCACACTGGTCAAGTCTGAGCGGCCACAATGTTAATGCAGACTCGGGCTACCATCCGCCCTGCCTGGGCGCGGCAGCTGTATCAACGGGCAAGGATTACAGGCCGTGGTCACAGAGCACAGGATAAGGCCTCTCCTCAGAGACTACATGCTAAATTAACTCAAACAGGGACAACAGAGAATAGTGGGGACTGAGGTAAAGTAGAAACCTTATGATGTTGTTAAATACCATCAAGTCACTTTCGACTCATAGTGACCCTGTTTAGGGTTTCCAAGGAACAGCTGGTGGGTTTGAACTGTTGATCTCATGGTTCTAAGTCTAGTGCGGATCCTATAGTACCACACCAGGAGTCCTTAGAGACCTTGAATGAACAGCTGAATTTCAGTGTGTCCAAACCACTGTGTACAGCAAGCAAAACACAGTTGTGGTCCAGCTGCTGCTTTGGTCCTTGTGTTTGTGACACTCAGGCTGTACCATCACTTTATTTAGAACTGGAAGCACGGGGATCTCAGAGGGCACATTCATCCCAGCCAAGTTCATTTCCAGCAGGGCATGCAGGAGCTTGGGAGGATGAGAAAAGGGATGGGAGGACAGGAATGGGGCCTAAACTTGGGGAGGCAGCAGGCCTGGCTTCCCCATATCAGCTAGTTCTTGGCTGACAGATGATGCTCTCAAATAATAAACATGCTTAGGGCTTTAGCTCCCCATTGGGCCTGAACACTCATGAGGTGGGTAGGAGAAGAGGTGTATTTCTTGGCACCTTAGTTTCTACAAGAGTCTTTGTTTGTGGGTCAGAGTTGAGTTCAGGAAAATGTCACAAGTCTTAGTCATTTGAGAAATAACCTCTAATTTCATTCTGCACTCTAAGTTCTATCTGAATGCTAAAATATGTCCTTTCGTCACTCGGAAGTTCAGATGTTATAAAAAAGACTTGAAAACCGAAATGCAGGGGCCATGGAGTGCACTCCGTCTCATGGAACCCTGACTCTTGGGTGTCAGAGCAGAACTGGGCCCCTTACGGTTTTCAGTAGTGGATTCTTCAGAAGCAGATTGCCAGACCTCTCTTCCAAGGCACCCCTGGATAGACTCAAAACTCCAACGTTTCCTTAGCAGCTGAAGTTAACTGTTGGCATCACCTAGGAACTGCTGACAAAGGGGCTTCCTTTGTAAATGTATTACCAGGTCTGCTTTAATGATTAGTACTCTGATTAGTACACTGGCGATGGTGGTAATGGTGGTGTGCCACTGAGCTGCTTCCGATTCATAGCGATCCTGTATAGGGTTTCTGAGGATGTAAAACTTTACGGGAGTAGAAAGTCTCATCTTTTTCCCAAGGAGCAGCTGGTAGATTCAAACTGGTGACCTTGCAGTTAGAAGCCCAACTCATAGCCCACTACACTACCAGGGCTCCTTACACTAGCAATAGGGGCTAGTTAGTGAGCGCCAGGTGATTATTAAGTGCTAGCCAGGTGCTGTAGGAATCCTGGTGTGAGGTTGTAGGGTAAGAACCTGACCAAAGGTCAATTTGAGCAGCAAGGTCGGTGGTTCAAACCCACTCCTTGAAAACCCTATACAGGGTCGCTAAGAGAGTTGAAGCTGACTCAGTGGTACTTAGCCGTAACAAGAACCAGGTGCTGTTGGATAGGCAATGGACCACAAAGGCCGGCAGTTCAAATTCATCAGCCACTCTTCAGGACAGAGATGAGGCTTTCTGTTCCTGTCAAGATTTGTTATTGTTGTTAAATGCTGTCAAGTCCGTTCCAGCTCATAGATTTTCTGAGGAGCAGCTGGTGAGCTTGAACTGACTTCGTGATTAAAACCCACCTTGCAGTCCAGTGCATTAGCCTGGAGCACCACACCAGGACTCCAAAACAGCCCCAGAAGCCCTCTCCAGGACAGCTGGGAGGCAGACTCAAGAATCAGCTGGGGAAATGCTTTCAAAAGATCCCTAGTACACTGGGTTGGACTTAGGCTCCAAGCTTGTAGTTTGAATCCGACAACCATTCTTGCGAGAAGGATTTATAGCCTCAGAACCCTAGGGAGTACTTGGAGGGTCTCTAGGACTCTGGATCCACTAGACAGCATGGGTATGGTTTGGTTTGAGTTAAATACTTTCAGTTCATTATCTTATTTAATAAAAGAGACATTACTTTGCTCCTGACCACATTTCTTTCAGCAGGGCCCCTGTGACCTTGGTTATCTAATCCCTCTTGCACATTTTTACGTCAGAGAGGAAATTTTTCATATTCTGCCAGTGATGTTTGTCTCGGAGCCCAAGTTGGTTGGTTTGTATGTGAGTTTAGGATTTTTCCAGTCTTGGATGTGGTTGGAGTGGCCGTCACCGGTACCTCCACAGCATGTGTAATGTCCACAGCCCTCCCCTTGTCACCTTGTTGGTGAGGGTGGCAGGAAAAGGCAAGCTCACCTTCTCTCTCTCTCTCTCTTACACACACACACACACACACCCAGAGTTCATTCCCTGTAGCTCCTGGCCTCCCCATTGCCTCCCCACATCCATGCCTCTCCCACAATTCTTTCCACCATCATCTGCAGTCACTCTGCCTCAGTTCCTCTCAGCTTGCAGCCCCTCAGTGTGCCCCCAGGTTTTCCTTTCTTCCTGCATTTACTGCCCCCATCTCCAGCTCCAGGCTCTCTCAGACTTCTTGAAATCCCCTTCCACCCTGTCAGGGTCCACAGTCAACCCAGCATCTAATTTCAGGTGGGTTTCTGTGTTTCTTTCAAGTGAGAGACGTTTTTTCTTTTCAATTTGAACTTCTTCATAACAGGATAAAGCACTATACTGGTGTTGGCTTGAACCACAAGACTGACAGTTCAAACTCACCAGCTGCTCCTTGGAAAGCCTATGCAATATTGCTGAGTCAAGCCAATTTAACAGCATTTAACAACAACAACAAACTAATCCTAAATGACTGAGGAGAGGGAAGGAAGCAATGCCTGATGGAAGAGAAGAAAGGAAGGAAGCAGTGTCTTATGGGGGAGGGAGCAGTGTCTGATAGGGGAGGGAGCAGTGTCTGATGGGGGAGGGAGCAGTGTCTGATGGGAGAGGGAGCAGTGTCTGATAGGGGAGGGAGCAGTGTCTGATGGGGGAGGGAGCAGTGTCTGATGGG